AGGCAATAAATTTCATCTTTTATCAACCTACCAGTATCTATGGGGATCCATAAGGGGTCCCCGCTACACGTGAACCATTCATATTAATAACTTAATTCCAGGGCCGTCCCCATACCCCGTCCGGTATGGACGCCAAAACCATAAACTTCAATACCTCGTCCGGTATGAGGATGAAACGGACTATCCCCATACCCCATCCGGTATGAGTGTCAAAACACATAAAGTCTCCATACTCTGTCCGATATGAGAAACCACGTTCCTGGTAGGGTTCCCTATGGACCCGGTCCGTCCACCATTTCCCAGGATATCTAGTCAGACTACCGAAATTATCCATTTATCAATTCACATACATTTTTCTATTATTTTCTTAATCTCAATTATCTAATCAACATAAATACGTAAATCAGCAACGCACACCAAATAAGGCAATCACAACATCGGGTCTACAATAATTCAAACCATAATAGATTAAACAGTTATTCATACATACAGAACCACAAAATAAACAATCAGATACTATACTGCATTGAGACTGTAAAATACATTAAACAGAAACAGATCGACAAATATATCAAGTTCGAGCCCCATTAGCAATCTTAATTAATTATACATATATATTAATTCATAAAATACCGTTTAATCATTTATTAAATTTTAATGTCATAATAGGAAATAGGGTGAGAGATCCTTACTTGTTTCGGAATCTGAAATCGGGTTCTCACTGCGGCTACAAGCAGTCCCTAGATTCCCTGAATTTTTTTTCGAAAACTGAAACACACTTCCGGTACCTGCACATGTCCCTAAAAAAATTCCAAATCAGACGCAGGGCCCTTTCGGCCAATTTCAGAATTCTGGCACGGCGGCTCCGTTGTGCTCCGGCGACGACGCCGTCGCCCGCGGCGGCGATCCGCCTCAGGTTGGTCGTTTTCGGCTGTTTTTAGCCGAATTCGGCCAAACTTGCATTAGTTCCTGTGATAAAACACCCCTAGGGCCCTCGGTGGGCCAAAAAATTACAGAAAACCGAGGCTTACCAGCGGCAGGGCTCTCGGGTGCGACAGCTCCTCCGGCGCGAGTTGTGGTTTGGTGTTTTACTCCGGTCAACCTGTAGAGAAAAAGGACGGTGGTCACGGTGGTATAAAAATTACATCGTACGGGAATCGAGAAGGGCCTCATCGGAGGCAAAAATCGAAGAAACCTGCGGCGACGCCGCTGAACTTCGGCGGCGTTTTTTGGCCAATTGGCCGGTGGTTTGGCTCTGATTTAACCACAGGGAGGTTCAGCATCGAAAAACGAGCCAAGGAAAAAAAATTTACCTTGTTTGGTGGCCGAAAAATCCTCTGGTGCGGCGGCAGGCGGCGGCGGCGGCCGGTTCCTCCGGTGGCTGGGTCGTCTTCTCCAGCAAGGGTTCTGGCGGCTAGGGTTTGGGGTTGGGTGTGGATTCGATTATTTATAACCTTCTCCTTTTAATCTGAGCCGTCCATCATAACTTAATCTGAGTCGTTCGATCGCGATTAAATTGGAAATAAATCTGGCTGTCCATTGCAATGCGATTTGGGCCGTTCGTGCGTGATTCAATCTGATCCGTTCGCACGCGTGAGATCTGGGTCATCCATGCGCCCTTTTGATCTGGGTCGTCCGTGCGCGAATGAACGGATCTGGGTCGTCCGATCGCGCGCACGCGGATCGCCCACGTGTCCCCGTCCCGCGTGGCTTCCCGCATCAGCGTCCCTGCCACACGGCACGTCCTGGTTGGCCGGGGCTGCTGACCGGACTGCTGACGTGGTGCAATTTTTTTAAATTGCATTTTGACCCCCGATTTCTGATTTTATTTCTAAAAATACCCCCAGAATCTAAATTTTTACTTTTTTTTTTCAAAATCAATTTCAATTAAATCTCAAAAATAATTTTACCCCATTTTATTATTATTTTTATTTTTATTTCTATTAAATTAAATTAAAACCTTATAAATTAATTATTGAAATAAAACAAAATCAAACAAAATTCCAATAATAATAAAATAAAAAGTTTTAGGTGTTACATATTCAATTTGAATCGTAATTATTACTTTTTAAAAATGAATAAATTGCTAATGTGAATTTTTTAAGCAAATACTAAAGTAAAATCACATTCAAAGAATATATGAAGACAATAATATATATATATATATATACTTGTTAACATTTGGGTGATATTTACATCTCAATGATACACTTCATACCGCATAAGTGGGTGACATTTACATCCTAACGACACACTTCGTACCGTATAAGTGTATGCAAAACATCAAACTTAATCACCCAACACTTTTTTATCCCAATAAAAAATTTCATGTATGAATATTATTACTATGTATTATATTGCGGCAACTATTGTTCAAAATGTACAATATCCCAATTTAATTTTTGATATTGACAATTTGATTGATTACTCAATTGCAATTTTTAAAATAAAAAATATTTAATCGACTCTTTTTATTTTTTTATTTTTTAACATTTAATTTTCTTAATTAAGTATTAATTGAAATTGACTTATATATATGTGTGTGTATATATATAGAGGCGTGTATCATGCATTTTGGTTGGAAAATGTGTTCGATAAGCAAGGTTTAATTTATAAAATAAGATTTAAAATAAATTAATGGAGATTAACATGGATAATAGCTTTCAACACGTTATATTGTGTTAAATATACAAGACAGAGTTTAACTTAACCTAATCTTGGTAGCATTATTTTTAATAATTGTTTAGTAAACTTATAGAAAAATAATATTTGTGAAATGGGAAAAAAGTCAAACTTCATCAAAAGTTAATTATTTACTTTTTAATTTTAACTTTAACAATATTTTTTAATTAGTCATCGTATTTAATTCAGTATAATAAATGATTTAATTTATTAATATATTAATATAATTATAATAATTAAATCAGATTTTGTAAATGAATAAATAGAATATATTAAATTAAATTTTTGTAGTTACTATAGATATAAGAACCTAAAAATATTAACATTTTTTTTAAAAAAAATAAATAAATGTTAAATTACAAGCACATATATATATATATATACACATACATAGTTATGTAATGTAAAACGTTTATTTCACTTATTATTAAAGATATAACTAATGAAAGTATAATTAATTAATATTATTTTTTGAAATTATTTTTTAAAAAGTTAAATAGAATTTAATAAAAAATATTAAGAAGTAATAGTAAATTTTAGAAACTAATCTATTAATTAAGATGTTGATAAGCAGATGATGTGTGATTGATTAGGCGTGAGGCTGAGGTGGCAGGGCCCACAGAGAATGATAGAAGGACAAGGGATTAACGGAGTAGACAAGCACTAATTGATTCCTTTTTAATCTAATCCATTCGGTAATCATTCATTAATGTATATAACTCCATTATAACATAAAATAAAATGCACCCACTCCGTATATTTATTTTTCGTGAACTGTCTTTGTTTTTTTTTTTTTTGTGGTATGTTCGTTAATAATTTTGTAATTCTCATGTTATATATGTAACAGCCTATAATTTAAAAATATATATATATAAATTAAATA